CCTATCCGACCCCTCCCCCTCTCCGACCATAGGGGAGGGTGCGGTCCCCGTGTGCGTGCGAGACGGGGTGGTCAAAAAGGGTAGGTCCCCAAAACATCAAGGGCCGGGCACCATACGCCTGGCCGACACTTCAGGGGAGGCAACACACGCATCCCCACCATCTTGGTACTTTGCGGCATACGCGAAAACAACAATTCACTGTATATTCATTGACTTCAAAAGTTCATCCGTTTAGACAGTGAACGGGGCTTGCATCCCCTGCCGGTCGCCTAGTGCCCAGCATAGACTTCAGTGAATGAGAACTCATGGACTTCAAGGGGAGGGGAGGGTACGCTTTTGGGACGGCTTCTTCCTTCTCCTCCCCCCTTCTGCTGGTTCCCCCTCTCCCGCCATCCTTTGCTCTCCCCTCCCTCCTCCTCCCTTCCTCCCCCCTCCTCCTCGAGGGAGCAGGAGCGAGGTGTTCGACGGGGGCGTGACGACGCGAGGTGGCGGCGGATGCGGCGTGACCCCCCGCCTGCGGACCGCTCGCTCCTTCTTCACCGTCCCCCTGGCCAAAGACACCATAGGTCTCGGACGCGGGCCGGGTGCATCATGCCACCTCAGGGCGATGCCCACCCGACCGCGCAGGAGGCCACCGTGGGGCTTCAAACGGCGACCCGGTGTGGGTGGGGGGGACGGGCGAGAAGGACTCCATGGAACTCATGGCCTTCAATGGAAATCCCCACCACCCCTGGCGCAGTACGTACGTGGGGCGCGGGGGGGGGGCCCGCACACCCACTCTCCCACCATAGGGGAGGGTGCGAAATCCATGTGTCCGGGACGGGGTGGGCAAGGCGGGAGACCACAGACCCCCCAAACAGTAAGGGCCAGGCACCGTACGCCTAGCCGACACGCCTCCCCGCCAACACGCCCCACACGCCTCCCCGCCAACCTTGTACCTTGTGTCATACGAATTATGATCAATTTACTGTTTGCACTCATTGACTTCAGGGTTTCATCCTGCTCCTCCTCCTCCTCCCCCTCCTCCTCCTCCTCCTCCTCCTCCTCCTCCTCCTCCCTCCTCCCTCCTCCCTCATCCCTCCTCCCCCCTTTCTCCTCCCTCCTCCCTGATCTTGACGTTAATCAGACATGAAGAACGGTGCTCGTTGCGTCGATGCTCTGACTGCTCCTCCTCCTCCTCCTCCTCATCCACCTCCTCATCATCAGCATCATCAGCAGCATCGTCAACCTCATCATCATCGTCATCATCATCATCATCATCATCATCATCATCATCATCATCATCATCATCATCATCATCCGCATCATCATCATCCGCATCATCATCAGCAGCAGCATGATCATCGTTAGCAGCATCATTATCAACATCATCAACATCACCAGCATCACCATCATCATCATCAGCATCATCATCAGCAGCATCAGCATCATCATCATAAACATCACCACCATCATCATCATCATCATATTCATCATCCAAGCTCCTCCCAGCTCCTCCGTCCCCTGTTCCTGCTCCTATCCCTGCTCGTCCTCCTCCTCCTCCTCCTCAGCCTCCTCCTCCCCCCCTTCTCCTTCAAATCCTTCTCATCTTCCTCCCCCTCCTCCTCCTCTCTTTCCTCCTCCTCCTCTTTCTCCTACCACCGCTCATCCTCCTCCCCCCTTCTCATTCAACTCCTTCTCCTCCTCCTCCTCCTCCTCCTCCTCCTCCTCGTCCTCCTAGTCCTCCTCGTACCATTGCTCATTTTCCTCCAACCCCTCCTTGTCGTAGGCCCCATCCTCTTCCACGTGCGGCTCATCCACGTCCACGATCGCCAAAGCTGCAGCGTCTCGAAAACCATCAGGACGAGCAGAGCATCCTCATAGCAAAATGCTGAGATGCTCCCGAGAGGATGCTGAGAGGCTCCTGAGAGGCTCCGGAGATGCTTCAGAGGCTTCGGCGAGACTCGTCAGGGGACCTGTGCGGGCCTCCGAAAACATACGTTCTCAGGGACAACTAAACCGGGTAACACCTGAACGCGGTAACAGACCCATTATGGGATCCAGACGGAGAGACTGCAAACGCTGAAACAAAAAACTGCAACGCGAGGAAGCAGTACTGTATGTCTTCTGCAACTAGCTGCGGTAAAAACAACACCAAACAGACCTCACAGACTCAGCAACAGAGGGCCCACAACAAGGAATGGAAGTGCAGCAGTCACACACTACCATTCTAACGCACACAACATGTGGCAGGCGTTGCATTAACCACAAAACTGTGTGGCCTCGGACCGGCCGTTCCCTGTTGCCCCGTCTGCTGCTACCCCGTCTCCGCTTCCCTGACCTGTCGTTTTCTGGCTCTCATTGTAAGCATCACCTAGCTAGAAAGCGAAGCTTCCTGGTGAAACCATCCTCCTCCCCGGCTCGATTAAAGTCCCCGCTTCCCTGACCTGTCGTTTTCCGGCTCTCACTGTAGGCATCACCTGGCTAGAGCACGAAGCTTCCTGGTGAAATCGTCTTCCTCCCCGGCTCGATTAAAGTTCGGGTAGTCAGAATAGATCGGCATGCCACCTTGCGGATGGCAGTCAAATAGATCACCGAGCGGATGCGCCCGCGCTCGGAAGACTTCGTCCCAGTGCGCCTGCCTTTCGGGAAACGGTATGTGATCGTTCTGCCCTGCGAAGGTGGCTTCGAGCTTCGCCAGCGCGGTCGGCAGCTCATCCCAGAAGATCCTCGCTATCCTCCTGATGGCCTGCGCCAGCGCGATGCCTGCAGGCCTGCCTTCCTCGTCTGCCCAGGCCTCTCCCAGGGTGCCGTCGGCCGCTGCTTCGTCGAGGAAGCGCCGCAGGTGCGGCTCCAGCAGGTCCACGGTGTGGTCGAGCCAGGCGGACACGCTCATGGCGGAGGGCGCCAGGAACCCCAGAGGCAGTGGAGAGCGCAACGCACTGCCATCCGATGTTGATGGGCCCATTTTTTCCACCACCATAAGCATATGTAGGAGAGGGAGGAGAGGGAGGAGGAGGAGGAGGAGGAGGAGGAGGAGGAGGACGAAGACCTCCTCGTCCTCCCTTCTCCCCCGTCCTACATATTGGGAGACCAAAAGGTACCGATACTGCTACTCCCCGGGCCTCTCCCGGTGCGCGTTCCGACCAGGACTTCGAGGCGAATCCAGCGGTGGCGACGAGGGCAGCCTAGAAGGCCGAGAAAGGGGGTAGACGAGGAAAGGGTAGAGGTATGGGTACTTTTCCTCCTCTGACACACAGCGCGAGCGCGGCCGCAAGAAACCCTCGCAAGAAGCCCAACCATGAAAACCCGCACGCGAAGTGAACCAGAGGGGAAGCCTGGAGCACTGCGAACGCAGCAGCTCCTTCAACGGCCGCGGGAAGTCGCCGCGCAGCGCGCGGGGCGAAGAAACCCAGGATACCCTGACGAAAAGCATATGGTTCGCAGAAGGCATCTATACACCACCACCGTGCCAAGGCAGGGCCATCCTGGGCCCCAGGATGGTGTATTACGCCCTCCTGGCCGAGGCCAAGAGGGTCTATACACCATCCTGGGGCCCAGGATGGCCCTGGCCTGGCACGGTGGTGGTGTATAGATGCCTTCGTCGGATATGGTTTCTTGATGCGCGCCCCACTGTATGGCAGTGGTGGGGGAGCATTTGCCCATTAGATGTGCGCGCGTATCTGGTCAGCGCAGGCCCCATCGGGCACGCCACCGGCGGCGGGGAGCCGCACAGCCCTGCGGCGCCCAGAGCGCAGCGGACGAGCTTCTCGTGCACGAGGTTCCAGCTGTCCGTGATCACGGCGACGGTCAGCGAGATCGAGGCCTTCGCCTACCAGCCTGGAACATGTCCCTATCCCCATGCTGGGCATCGCCTCATCACGATGCCAATCTCAGGGATCCCCTTGGGTCTTGTGGGCGCATCCCTAAGATTGTCATCGCCTTTGGGCGTGTCAATCTTAGGGATAGGGATAAGTTCGAGGCTAGTGGTTCTCCTTCGTGTCCAGTGACGTGCTCGTGTGGTGCGGGAAGCCGCGCGGCAAGTAGAGCATGTCCCCGGCAGTGAGCACTCCCTGGTACACGATGGGGCCACACTCCGCCGCGGGTAGTGATCCGCCAGCTTTTCCCCACTGGGCCTCGCCGTGCACGCCCCACACTGGCATGTGAACTGGTGGGGAATAAACTGTCCACCTTTTGGCTCCACTGGTCTGGATAATGAAGCTATCTTGGCGATCCGTATGAACAGGGGCCGAAACTTCAAAGCTTTGCCTTGTAATGTATATATTTGTGCTGGCTGGGAACCCAAAAGCATGCTGGAACTCTAGGGTTGCATTGGCAATCCCTGCGTGCAGCGTGTGAGCCTGACCAATCAACCAGGTGGATTTCTTTGTAGCAGCATGTACTTCTTTCTTCGTGAGGAAAGATCGGCCCTGAGGAACATCGAAATGAAAACTGCTGAACTCGCCAGATTTTACTCCTTCCATCATGAAGGCGTTAGTGACACCATCACGTACAAGTCCACGCTCAACGAGTGCAGTCGCGTCAGTCATATTAAACATTGCAGATCCCAACACCTCTAGGCCAAGGTGTACACGTACAGGTTGACGCAACCATATTCTCTCCTGGAACACAGCCGAGCTTGCGATGGAAGTCAAAACGCCGTTCAACACTGAGTGGTTAACTGCATCTTGCGAGCGCTGCTGAGCTAGTGCTGAATTCACAACATGCTGCAGTTCGGACTCCAGTTCGCCAAGCAATGTCTGTGAAGCACAATCCTCTGAATCTGCAGAACAAGTTCCCGAGTCAGCGGTCCACGCAGACCTAGTACCTGCAACGAACAATATCAATGCCGCGTTCGAGAAGATCGACTGCCTCATGCTTGGCGACACATCAATGCTGAACCAACACAACCTCCGGAAAAGAGTGCTATACGAACTTTCTGGGAACCTGCTCCGGGACGTCGGAGGCCCGAGCCGCTCCCCAACGTCCTCGGAGGATGACCAAAAAGTCCCCAAACCGTGAGGAGGGCCCAGCATCCCCATGGACTCACCGCGCGAACGTTGTCTTGCTCGGCGTTTCGACATTGGGCGGATATAAGGGGGGGAAGCGCGGGGCGTCTGGCTCTTTGGGCCTCTGCGGAGTGCGGCCGTTTGCAGAAGTGCGTCCTGCAGGGGAGGAGCTTCACCTGCTCGAGACAGGCGCCAAGAACAGCGAAGACCTACTCCAGGGGGGGGGGGCGGCGCGCCGATCGGCACAACAATGAAGAATAAAAACGAGAACCACACGGTGTGGTGACGGCACTGCGTTTGGGATACCCGACCGTCGCTCGTCTGGGTCGGCGGCTCCGAAGGGTGTGGTTTGCAGAGAGCGTGGTTGGCATCACGCACCCTGGGTGGCGCGCGGGGGCCTCGACGGAACTCTCCGCCGAGCCTCGAGGCCCCACGACGAGGGCAACGCGGCGCCCCCCGCGCCGCAACGACGCAGATCGCAGGCCACATCCTGGCGCATCCGCACCCTTCGAGCAGGGACCTACCGTCCCAGTATTCCTGTAGGCCTCGCACGACATGTTCTCAGAACCCGAAAAAAGCTCTGAGAGCGAAAAACATGTTCTTAGAACAAGAGGCCGACGTGCGAAAAACAAGAAGGTCTCGGCCAGAAATGTTCCAAGAACATTTCGTGCAGACCATAAAAAAGGAACGTTCTTAGAACACTACTTCGGGTGGGCCTACAGGCGAGCTGGGACGCTTCGCCATAGCTCGAACCCTTGGCGGTCGCTGGTGGTGGCCCCTTGGCCTGTCCTCGACTGCCCCCCGCCGCTGGTGCTGCACTCCTCTGCCAGAGTCTGGCCCAGATGTTCTGGGGAATCGACGATGAATTGTGTCTGTGTTTTTGCCCCTCCTGACACAGCCCTCCCCGCTCTGCCCCAAAAGACGGCCCCGGACCGTGGCGCCCGCCCTGCAGGTGCTGCCACCAGCCTGCGCCCGGCCCCGCCCCCGATCCCTCCCCCGATCTTGAGGCAGCCTAGAGACCCGGACCCTCAACAGAACACGCCCCTGGTCCTGGCGTCGCTGAAGGGGCCCTGGGACACACAAATCAATACGCACAAATACCATGGCTCCCCATATGTTTTCACATGTTCTTGGTCTTCTTCCCCCCCCCACTCCCCATATTTCCCCGCCTTCTCCCGAAGTCGGCGATCCACTGTGTCTGCGTGTTTCTTTCCCTCCTGAAAAAAATAAAAAAATGTTAAACAACAAAAAAACAAAAAAAAAATCCCCGGTCCGGTCCTGGCGCAGCACGGTCTTAGCCCCCCCCCTGCGAGTCCCAAACGAAAGCGGTCTCGTCGCCGCACGCCCCTTTTGTTCACAGTGCCTCGACGGAAGCCCCCCGCCGCAGGCACGGCTGTGCCCTGGCAGCCCTGGCGAGGCAGCCTGCAGGCAGAGGAGGAGGAGGAGGAGGAGGAGGAGGAGGAGGAGGAGGAGGGTGTGCCCTGGCAGCCCTGGCGAGGCAGTACAGTCGCCTATATGCGAGACGGCGGGTGGGCGGCCCCTTAGTTGTATATGGTCTTGTTTGAATGTGGCCTTCGTTGTATATGATCTTCCTCGTGTACGATGGTCCTTGTATATGATCGTATTGTGAGGCTCTGTTGGGCAGGCGTGAGGGCCGTCTGCTCCTCACGTTCCTCCATCTCCTTGGCCCCTCCTACTCGAACATATCAGATAAGTACGCGTTTCGCTCGAGACATTCCCCTTGCAAATGCTTTTGAGGAGGTCTTCGAAAACGTACCAGAGCCTCTTCCTCCTGTGTGTGTGTGCGTGTGTGTGCCTTCGGACGGGCCTTCGAACACATCAGATAAGTGAGGGATAGACAGACGACATTGAAGGCGTACAGAGAAGTGAGGAGGATAATCAGGACTCTCCTTGTGGACGTCCGGGGCGCGCGTGTCCGTAGGGATCCCCTGGGGACGTTCGGAGAGCTCGCCTACATTACATTGTATCGTGATGATGCTGCACGCTCTTGCGCAGCTCTGTCCTTTCACGCGCTTCCCGCTCATGTCAAGAAAGGTCTCCGTGCCCGTGTCGATCGCATCCAGGGATCGGCGACGGGAGAAGGAAAGCCCCCTCCCGGCCTCTGCCCCTTGCGCCCCTGGCCCCGCCGCCAGCATGACAAGCGCCCTCTGGAGGGGCGTCATCTGGTCCTCCGCCGCCACATACGCCAGCGCTAACGGCAACATAGGGACGAGGAAGAACATGCGGGAGAAGAAGCAACGTCTCAAACATAAACTGTCGACGGCCACAGGGATCCCGTGAATCGGCGCAAGAGGCCCCTCCAGGGGCGGCGCTGGGCCAAACGCAGACCCAGGAAATCCGCGCGCACCGTCGAAAGTTCAGGTTTCTGCAGTTGCCTCTTTTTCGAGATGAGGAAGAACACTCCTCGCCCCCGCTGCTGGTGACGCCGTGGTCGTCGTGGTCGTCGTTGTCGTTGTCGCCATCGTCGTCGTCGTCGTCGTCCTCGTCGTCCTCGTCGTCGTCGTCGTCCTCGTCGTCCTCTTCCTCGTCCTCGTCGTCGTCGAATGAGGGAAGGAGGAAAAAGCGGAGGAGGAGGAGGACCCTCATCGCCCCCGCCTTTCCCTCCACCCGATGCTTCACCCCTCGCTGTTCCTTCCCTCCTTCCTCCCTCCTCCCTCCCC